AGGAGTATGTTATCTTGGTGGCTTAGGTTCTTTGGGCTGGAGGGAGACATCCATTTTTGCTAGTGATTCTCAGTTGTGACCTCCCTCACATCTCTCTCCTTTCTGAACGTTACTTTGGCTTTAGTTCTTCTGTTCTGATAATACTTGCTCATCTTCTGTGGTCTCTTTTCAACATCCCGTGAAGAGGGATTCTTGTTTTACAGATCTGGGAATTGGAGTGTCTGGCAATGCTTTCAGGCTCATCTAAATTCCAGCTCCTTAATCTAATTTAATTACCCACCCTTTCTTATCTTAAATACCCTGCCTCCCTTTATAAACAAATAATGACTCCTGATCCCAGGGGTCCAAGCTGGGAGCAGTGCATCACCTTTGTAGAATTCATTACATTCCACACTCAGGCTGCTCATTGACTTTGCCAAAAGCAGGCAAGCTGGGTGTGAGCCTCCTCCTGTTAGCAGAGGAAACTGACGGGGTGGAGAGCCATAGCCAGAGAACCCCAGAAACCTGAAGGAGAGGACTAGCCATGTTGCATTTAAGGGCTCTGCCTGGGAATGGGGTGTGCACTGTAAGCGGACCTCTAATTCAAAATTGGAGGGTGGGGGCAGAGGCAAGGAGGTGCTTCTGCCTCCCTTAAATGATTCCCCTGCTCTCGGGTGAGTACCCTAATCATAGGGCTATGAAGTGGGGCTCTCTCAGTCTCTTCCATTGAAGCTGTTGTACTTTGGATAAGTAATTTAGAGAATCAACATCAGAATAGACCACATCTCAGGTGAATGCCCTGACCACTAGATAAATGCCACCCCAAGTGTGCCTACTGGATCGGGCACTGTACTTGAGTAAGGCAGCCAAACGCCTATTTTGACTGGTTTGTAATTCACTCTGGGACTGAGGTGGGAGATGGCATTCAGACACCTAGAACGAGGCAGCAGTGTGCATGTCTTGAGGCAGGACCATAGAGTTCTAAGGAACCCTTTGCTGCAAAACCTTAGGCGATGAGCAAGTTTAGGATCTAGTGGGAATTTTGTGAATTTCAGTTGATTCTAAAACTAGGATTTATGCACCTAGATCAAGTGTTTAGGCACCTAAGTATTTGTGTGACTCTAGGCCTAAGTGACTTGCCCACAGACACACAGGAAACTTGTGATGGAGCATATTCTCGAATCATAAACGTGTAGGACTGCTACACAGTCAACCTCAATAGGTCATCAAATCCAGTCTCCTGCACTCAAGGAAGAACAGTATTATAGAGTCCAGTGGTCTCCAAACTTTTTAAGCACGAGATCACTTTTTGAATTTAAGTGCAATCTAGGATCTACCTCAAACCCAAAATACCCTTGTCCCACCTCCTTCATGCCCCTTCTCCAAAACCCTGCCCCTGCTCGCTCCATCCTCCTTCTATCCCCCATCCTCCCTCCTTTTCACCAGGCAGGGGCAGAGGGTTGGTGATTTGGAGTATAGAGGGCTCTGAGCTGACCCTGGGGCAGAGGTTGGGATGTGAGGGTTGGTGATTTGGAGTATAGAGGGGCTCTGAGCTGACCCTTGGGCAGAGGTTGGGATGTAGGAGGGGGGTTCAGGATACAGGCTCTATTAGGGTATGTCTACACTACAAAGTTAGTTCGAACTAACGGACGTTAGTTCGAACTAACTTTCATAGGCGCTACACTAGCGCTCGGTTAGTTCGAATTAAATTCGAACTAACGGAGCACTTAGTTCGAACTAGGTAATCCTCATTCCACGAGGATTAAGCCTAGTTCGAACTAGCTAGTTCGAATTAAGGGGTGTGTAGCCCCTTAATTCAAACTAGTGGGAGGCTAGTCCTCCCCAGGTTTCCCTTGTGGCCACTGTGGCCAACACCAGGGAAACTCGTCTGCCCCCCTCCCGGCCCCAGACCCTTTAAAGGGGCACGGGCTGGCTACCGGGGCCC